AACTCGCCATAAAGGCCAATGGCCTTTATAAAATTTAAAATTCTGCTGGGAACAACGACGGAGAAAATATCCTGCAATTTCTTGCATTTATAATATTTTCTTCGGATCTCTCCAAAGTCTAGACATTCTGTTAAAATGTGTCTAATGGTAAAATCTGTGTCGCATCCGACACAGAACGGCTTCTCCTCTCCCTGTTCTTTTTATTCGAACTGAAAATGAAACAGTTTTCTAAAAATAGTTATGACTGGGCCTGTGGCTGATGAGTCACCACATGGCCCAACTGAAAATGCCGCATACGAAATTTCAACCGACTTGTCTTTTGTCGGGAGGTGTCGGGTCATTTCGGTGGGCACATCCAAAGCCAAACGGAATTTTCACCCATTTCCAAGGTAGGAACCGGTGTTCCGTTTGAACTACCGTTACATTCATGGGGCTCACCGTTACATTAAGTCATGGACTTGTTACATTCATAGGGCTCACCGTTACATTCAGTCACGGATTTGTTTCATTCAGACGGCTCCCCGTTACATTCAGACGTGGACTTGCTATATTCAGACGGCTCAGCGTTACATTTAGTCATGGACCTGTTACATTTAGACGGCTCACCGTTACATTCAGACGTGGACTTGCTACATTTAGACGGCTCACCGTTACATTTAGTCATGGACTTGTTACATTCAGACGGCTCACCGTTACATTCAGACGTGAACTTGTTGCAGCCTTTCTGCTCGGGGCAGCTGACATCACAGTCTTCTTGACACCGGAAGCCAAACATGTTGTCTGGGCATTCTGGGAAGGCGTACATACACGACTAAGGCGGGCTGACAAAATGAGTTACATCGCTACCTTAGAATTACAAAGCCCTTTCAGACATTTTTGTCCGCTTTGAGTTACTAAGACCATGAGGTCAAAAACCATGTTCGGCATGTTCTATCAGAATCTTAAGATTATTCGGGGCCATTGTCAAAGATGTTTAAAAAAACTGCATTCCAAAAAAACTGGAAATGGAAATGTGAAATTATTATTATTTTTTTTTTTAGAAGCCAAATGTCTCAAAACGAGGTACTGAGCAGATAGGACACTATTTCCCTGGTAGCAACACGTAAGGCGGGCTGACAAAACGAGTCACTTCTCACAACCTACCTATGGAGAGAGATTCAGATATCGGCTGAAAATTGAAAGAGGGTTTGAATATGTAGATTTTCTTCAACAGAAACTTTTACCTTTAAGTTGTAAATTGTGTATTTTTATCCGTTCATACTTACAAATTGTATAAACTGAGCTTTTAAATTTGACTTATAATCCTATATGTATATTTACATACGAGCTGAAATCTGAGAAGTAGCTCAGTTTGTCAGCACATCTATCCATCTATCCATCTATCCATCTATCCATCTATCCATCTATCCATCTATCCATCTATCCATCTATCCATCTATCCATCCATCCATCCTTCCATCCATCCATCCAACGCATGCGCCTTTCCCTCAAACCATCCACCCACCAATCAACCAATCAACCAATCAGTCAATCAATCAATCTCTCAATCCATCCTTCCATCCATCCACTTATCCATCTATCCACCCACAACCCACCCATCCATCCACCCACCGTCACACAGGCCGGCAGCGTTGAGATGGTATCCGTACTTGCAATCCCCACACCTATCTCCGTGGTCTCGATCACATCCCGTGCACAGACCAGAGGGGTGTACCTTACAGCTCTTGTCGCACTCCCGCCCGTACATGCCTGGCTCGTCACACACTGACGCACACACAAAAAGACATACTGTATATATATACGTATGTATATACATATATGGGCTGCTCGCGATGTGAGGGAAAATGATACCCATGCCTTTAAACACACACACAAACACACACACAAACAGAGAGAGAGAGAGAGAGAGAGAGAAAGAGAGAGATAGAGAGAGAGAGAGAGAGAGA